CTCTGGCAAAGCATGTCCAGCCTCCACCGGCTCAGGGTGATGCAGCCTTGGCTCATTGACCCTAAAATGAGTGGTGTGTCCTCTTCAAGAAAAGGATCTGGGACAAGTCACTGCTCCTGGAGATCTGCCCTTGGTAACACACACACACATAGCAGGCAGCATGGCCTGCACAGCTCCCCATCCCTCATCCATGTGTTTTCCACCCATCATCCTCCACAAGATCCGAGGGCAGCTGAGGAGGGATCCCAGCCATGGCCACGAGCGGCCAAGGTGTCCCCTGTGGGCTGAAGTCAAATGGGGCAGGTTGAAGGAAAAAAGTGGCAGGAAACACTTTCTGAGAGGGGTGTTACGGGTTTGTTTGTTTTAAGGATAATTCTGCCTGAAATTAATAATGGGGATTTTTCTTTTGAAGGGAAATCTCATTTCATTTAGCTGAGGCTTTTTCAGTAGAGAAGATAAAATTTCAAGCTTTCAAGATTGTACTGATTTTTTTTTCTTTTTTTTTTCTTTTTTTTTTTTTTAATGGGGAAATTTGTTTCTCAAAAAGGAAATCTTTCCGCTTTCCTAGAGAGGTGGTCGATTCCCCAAGCATATTGTTGTTTAAGATGCCCTTAAGGTCGATGCCCTTAACAACATGCTTTAACTTTTGGTCATCCCTGAAGTGGTAGCACGAGCACTGTGGGACAAATTGGCTTCCAGGGGTTAACCAGGGGAGCTGTTAAACTGGGCATGGCTTGGGCACACCAGTCTGAGGAGGGTTTATACATTTTTGTGTTGATTTTCTTGTTGCATTTTTCAGCCTGGAGCGTGTCCCAGCTGTCCTGGGCTGAGAACAAGCTCTCTTAGCATAAAAAGACACAGAGATGCTCCAAGTCCCTGTCAGTTTGGAGCTTTAGGGCAGAGGATCTGCTGGGTCTCTCAGCCAGGCAGTAACTCTGCTTCCACACAGTTTGGAAAACAGAGATATTTTTTTTTCCCCTCAGAGAGGTTATAGCAAATGCTGGCTGTGAGGAGACTGGTTTGCACCTTCCAAACCCTCCTGGTTCTAAGTTTGTCTTGCAACAGAGCCAAGAGTATTGCAAAAATGTGTACAGTTAGCTGTTTTATGTGTGTGCCTGTGCCTGAGTACACCTGTAACTCCTGATTATGAGCCAAAACACTCAGAAAGCTTTTTTTTTGTGCATGTGAGTTTGACTTCTCACCAGCAAACACATCAACTACAACACGATGTCTGACTTGATGATTACAGCTTCTTCATTTGTGAAGATGACTAATAAGTGGGTTTGGCCAGAAGTTTCTATTTTCTGATAATGGTAACTGTTGTTTTTCGCACCACAGGTGCTTTACAGATGCGGGTCTCTGAAAAGAGAGGCAAGCTGTGTTGGCTTGCTCTGGAGGGTATTTGAAGCCAGTATTTCATCAAGGTTTATTACAAAGACTTACTGGTTTCTTGCACTATCACAGCACACACACACAGACCAGGACTCCAATGCTCCAGTTTTCCAGAGTGCGAAGGACGCCTCTGCCTCAGCACTGCCCTGGAGAGCTGAGAGAAAGGGAAGATTGCCTGCTGCTCTGCCATGTTGCCTAGAAAACGATCATCCAGGCTGTTTTAAACACACTTCAGAAAGTCTTTTCTTCACTTTGCTGGTGCTGAACAAATCTTATTCACAAGGGAGAGGACTGCACATACAGAAGGGTGGCTCAGGAGGGCAGGGCCTGCCTGGTGTCCTTTGGACCACAGCCTGGATCTGGGATGTACCTGATTCCAAAACAATCTCTTGGAGATATATATATATGATAGTGTGGGAAACAGGTAAACTTTCTCAGGAAAACTGAACAGTGCTCCTCCTGATGGGCTCATACTCCCCACCAGCTCTCTGCTTCGCTCCCACATGGAGCAGATGCTGTTGTTGTTGCTGCTCAGAGGCAGCTCTGAGAGGAACAATTTCCATCTACAGATACTTCTGCGGCATCACAGAACCCGTGTATTAACACACACTAAATTTGCATTGCACATTGGCTGCTGGGGGGGAGGGGAGGGGTTTATTCACGATTTTAAAGGAGCTGTTTCCCTTCCCAAGATGTGCAGTTACGCTGTACCCTCAGTTTGATCTTGATTATCAAAGCCATGCTAAGAAATGAAGGGAGTCACAGGGCTGTGGGATCTCACAGTTTAAAAAAAAAAAAAAAAAAAAAAAGAAAAGAAAAAAATAAGAAAAAAAAGTAAAATCCCTTGTTTTCCAAGCTAATTAGTGTGAATCACAAGTCTAGGAGTAGCAGTGTAAGGCTGGGGTGCACATGCCACTGTCATGGTGCTGAGAGTTGCATCCAACAGGTCACAGAAGGTTCCTTGTAAGACACCTACTATAAACTGAAACAACGCTGGGATATAATATTCACTCTTATTCACTGCATTAGGGAGAGAAAAGGATTAAATCACACTTGAGACATCTGTCTGCCTGCCCCAGAAAACTTCATTTTCATGCTGAGTCTAATTTTAAAATGTCACCTTGAAAATGTGTGACATTTTAATGGGCTGATTGCCAAGATCCTCAAATCCTTTAATTTGCATATGAATCACAACGTTAAATATTATGGGAAAAGTATAAAACCCTAGAATTACGAGAGAATGCCTTGCATTACCCTTGGTTAAACATATGTTGGGAGGACTGTCTCCTAGAAATCTAATATTAACAAAGGCAAATGAGATTAAAAAATGCTGTGGTATTCCCATTTATACCATTAGCTGGTTGTGATTGCATGTGGGTTTTTCTTGCAGCTGCCTAATAGCAGCCTGGGTGTTGCCTGTTCTTTGAATAAGCCTCACAGCACATTGCAGCATCGGGAGGATGGGTTGCATTCCCTTCTCCCACATTTCTGACGCAGCTCCAAGAAAGCCAGCGGGATTTCATCAACACCCTCTGATCGTCTCTTCTCAAGTAAACAGTTTTCAGGTTGCTCCTAAAAATGATGGGGCCAAAACAGGCCCCAGGGGCCATAAATTCCCCAAAATCCATACACTTCATTTAGGGAAGGAGCCTGGACTGTGCAAGTACCTCCTGTATGGCAGGGTCCATGACGAGGCTGGTGGAAGTTAAGTGCATGGATAAATACTTGCTGGATTAGGGCTTGCGGTTAGAGAAAATCCTTCCAACTGAAACAAAACTTCCTATAAGGAACTTCTTGAGAAGTTTTAGTGAAGTTCCTACAGCAGGTTTTCTCATCTAATGTGAGTAGCTCAGTGCAGGACTTGGCACAGCCTAAGCAACTGTTTGTAGCTCCTGCACAGCTCATCTGCTCTGGGAGCTGATTTGTGACAGAAATCCGCTTGAATGGAGATGGTAAATTCAATTTACTTGTCAGAAGGAAGTGAAAAATTCCACGGCAGAACAATCTGGGTCACAATGTACTTTGGATTAAAAGATTTAGTAAAGAAAAAAGGGCCCAAACCGCATAATTCTGATTCAACTTTCAAGCACGAAAAGTCTGAGGTTAATCAAAACTAGGGTTTAGTTCATCCATTCATGAAGATATCTGTGTAAGTTGGAGCTCATCCTGTGCTTGGATCTTCCCATTTCCCTTGGGATCTGTTCAAACCCAGGGACCAGACCCTTTCCCGGTTTGCAGCAGAGAGCCCAAAACCACACAGAAAAAGCTGTTTAAAGGAGAAGGCACCAGCAGAGAGAACTGGCTGTGAGTCTCTGCTGGGTCTCTGGAAACTTGCAGGTAGGAACAGGGTAGAGAGACTAAAGTTTCACAGTTATTTGGATCTCCCTGAGAGGCTGAAGGGCTGCTGAAATAACACAGATTTTTGCAAAAGAAAAGAGACCAACCATGGGGAAACCCGTGGGGCACAGGTGACAGACACAGTGTTTCTGGCTGTTCACACAACTGCAACACCGGGCAGAGCTTGGCTCCCAAAAGCCATCAGTGGGACTGGAGCTCTTTTGGTGCCGCACTTGGGGTGCATCTGTACCTCAAAAATAATTCTAAAGCCTCTCCTCTGCAGGAGGACCATCCCTCCCCTCTCCTGTACAGCCCATTTCCTCGCATTCACTATGAAAGCATCTCTCTTTAGGAAACACAAACAGCTCTCATGTGCATGCATGTGCAAAAGAAAACAAGGACAACACCCACTTCTGTAGAAGAATATATTATTTAGCAGATCAGTTTAAAAGTAAAAAAAAAAACAAAAAACAAAAAACAAAAACCTGTACATCTTTGAAGGGGTTTTTTGCTGCTTTTTTTGCATCAACAAGGATAAAAAAGTGTTTGCACTGTGGTTTCAGCTTTGTGCTCCCTTCTTTGAAGGATCCCATGATGTCCAGCTGTATTAGGCCACAAAGCAAACTCACTAAGGGATCTTCTGATTTCTTATAGTTTAAAAAAAAAAAAAAAGAAAAAAAAGAAAATTGCATCCACTAATGCCGGGCTTCTGAATGTACTGTGAACACTATAAAATTCAGGGAATAATGCAGAGAAATGTGTCATTAGGGCCTGCTGGGCAAACAAAAATGTATGCCAGGACCCTTGTTAAGCTGTGCTGTAATTAGCATACTGCTGTACACGTAGAGAGAGTATCTTCACTAAAACAACTTCTTCTGGTGTTTTTTGGACGCCAGTGGAACACTTCCCAGAGAAGGCTCCTTAGCTAAGCCCTGATTTGTCTCTGCACGCTGTGGGTGACAGTCTGGCCACCAAAGAGGCAGCTCTGCTGGAGGTTTGAGCCGGTGCACTGTCCGCAGGGGGAATCCTGCTGGGAGGCTGTGCCGGGAATGTCGGAGCGCCGGGAATCCTCGGCGTCTGTGCAAGGAGACTGCGGGCTGTAGATGAGGTGCCGGGGCAGGCAGGACATCCATCCCTGCCACTTCTCCTCGTACACGGTCCCAGCTGGATTTCGACGCGGCCGCCCGCGCCTGTTTGGCCAACACAGCATTTCCCAAAACCAGAGCAACCCCGGGGCTTGTGTTTTTTTTTCTTCAAAGGCTTTTCTCGTCTCACTTTTCGGTGCTGCCGGTCATCAGACTTTCACCCTTCTGTTTCTGCAGCTGAAATGAAGAGCAAGGCAGGATTAGTGCCCCCTGACTCACGGGGTGCTGTGTTCCACCGCTGCCGTGAGTCACACGCCCGGCTCCCCACAAGGCATGTGCAACATTTCTTGGGAAGGAATAGCCGGCAGCTTGGAACATCACAGGCACTCTTTCATCCAAACAGCTCTTGGATGCATGTCCTGAGCACACTCGGTCTTTCTCATCATCTACTGCACTAGGCTCGCAGAGTATTAATTAAATCCTCTTGTTTCGGGGTATTTCTGAATTCAAGCAGCTCCTATTTTCCTAAGACCTTTTGTGCCAATACACTGCAATTAAAGCTCCATCAGTTTGTATAAAAATGCTGTTTTGACAGCTTCTGTAAAGCAGAAGTAAAGTCTCAGCTCGAATTGAAAGATGAATGAGACTCAGGCAGTCTGACAGTCGTATTTGAGTTCCTTCTCCCTCGTTTGAGAAATGCTCCTCTCTAAACTGTAGAATGCCTGAAAGACTTTGTTCTCCTTTGAAACTTAGTGCCCTCAAAGCATGTGCTCTTTGATTAACCAGCCTTAGTATCTGAGCTCCTGAGGGGCTTTTCTTCCAAAGCACTCAGGAGGAGGTGGGAGCTACTCCAGAAAGCTGCTATTCCACTCATGGATGATCAAGTGAATGAACCCTAATTTCCCACATAACAAACAATATCAGCACAGCTTGTGCTCCAGGGCACTTCCCAATTTATTTTAATGACAGAGTGGCTGATGGCATCCTGTCTACATAAATGTTTTCATGTGATAAAACCCCTACTCTGTGATGCCACTTGGGCAGGTTTTGTCGTAGACCTCCGCAGGGAAAAGTGGTCCTCCCCTGAGCCCATTTGTCAAAATGAGAGATGCCCTGTAAATGGAGGTCCCCCACTGAGCCATAAAATGGTTGTGTGTTTAATCCTCCTGGGTGCTGTGCATGACAGAGTAGTTCCTCATAAAATTTCAAGCACATCCTTGATGGCAGACACGTGACTGGAAGTTCCTTCCCAGAGAATAAAATCATGCACTGGGGGTGCAGTGCCTTGAACTGCCCAACCCCAGGACGTTTTGCTGCAGTCTAACCCAGCCTAACTCCTTCCCAGGGGCTGGCAGATCCCTCCAGGAGGAGGTGTTTGCTAAGCAGCTCCCTTCCCGTGGCCACACTTGCGTGGTACCTGATGGACTCTGCAAGGACATGTTCTCACTGTTTGTAGCACATACTCCTCCCCAGCCAGGTGTACTGGATGTGATTCTCATGATAATGATTATGCCATAAGCATTCTTGCTGTTTGGGAATTAAGCTGCTCTTTAATTACAATGTTGGGCATATTCAGTCACAATATTTACTGTATCAGAGATATTTAGAGTTTACCTCTTTTGTAGCATCATCTTTCTGTTTTAGTCCCTCATAGTGGTCCCTGGATTCCCACAGGGGCTGGAGCATCACCTCCTCCACTTCTGGGAATAGCTGGGTGAAAACAAGAGAAAGAACATCAACGTTTCCCTGTTGCATTCATGAACTTCCTACGTGCTTTCATCGTACACGCTAAAAATAGGGCGGAAGGCAGGATGTGAACAGTGCACCCCCGTTTCCCCGGCTCTGGGAACAACTGATGGAGCAAAAACTGGAGCTCTGCACTCCCCACTTCTGCTTCTGGCCCTGGGTGCCTCACCTTTGTTACTGTCTCAAACATGGGGATGAGGACGAACTTGAGGAAGCCGATCTGTGCCGTGGGCTTGGTCACTTTGTCGCGGTCCATGAACGGCGCCACTGGAAGACCCTCAGATTTTTCTCGGTCGCTCTGGAACGAATCACAAATTAAAAACGTAAATCTTGGCTGGGAGCCCATGAGGGGAATAAAGTCCTGCTGATCACAAGCTAAAGAGCAGTGGCCTTCAGACACAGATCATAGAGGTGTTTGAAGACAGCACAGAATAGCAGCGTGCTTCCCTCAGGCCTCCCTCAGTGTATCTGCTTTGTTGAGAGCAACATCTGAACAAAGACAAGTCTGCTCAGTTATTTCTGCTCAGCACTGGCATGAAAGTGTTCTCCTCCAGGCTTACAGGGCATCTAATTCCTTTTGCAAACACACTGGACTTGTGAGATAAAATATTTCAGAGCATCCAGAGAGGTGGTAAGGGCTCTTGCCGGTCTGAAAGAGGAGGAATAGGTCTGTCATTTCCTCATGATTCTCCAGAGACTGATTATTTTCAGCTATTCAACCAGAAATTACATCTCCTTCTTTACTACTACTAATTAGAACTAGTTCTGGCTAGTCAGGTCAATGGAGAGTAGTTCCACCGAGTGCGAAGGGCTTGCCAAGCTACCTACTTAACCACATAGCTCACTGTTTCTGTGTGGGTTCACGGGTAAGGAAGTTATGGACTGTGTGTGCAAAAAGGACATCCTGTAGCAGATTTTATCTCCCAGTTATTCGATCATTCAGCACATGGTGCCTTCGCTGGGTGGCCAAAACAGCAAGGCACAGAAATGCTGTAATTGTGAGTGAAAAACTGGGCACGCGGTGAGCCAGAAATGATTCTGATGCATCACCTTGTCTCTCGTGAGAGGCCCTCCTTGTCATGCACCCGATCAAAGTACAGACAAAACACCCAGGAAAGCTGTGGCATCTGCTCCCCAGGGCGCTGCAGCTGTGTGTGGGCTGGGATCCCAGCACAGCTCGGACACCCTGCTCAGGAACCCGTGTGCCAGAGGCAGCCGAGGGCTGCTCACCCAGGGATCCCTTCGTGAGACACCAGAAACTGTGTCCAGCCGGGAATCCAGTGGGCAGTGACGCTTGTGAAACTCAGAGTCTGACTTTGCACACCCCAGCAAGTCTTCTGCTTCCTCTTTAGGGGAATGTTCACACGCAGTGAAAATAAACTAGTCCCTCTGTGATATTGGATATAATTTACTTGACAGCTTTATCTTGCCGCTGCTCTTGTCCTTTTGGCTCAGAAGTAATATATTTGTCAAAAAGCCATGCGAGGCAGCTGCTTTACAGAGAACAAGCTTCAGCCTGCTGGCGTTAGGATTTCTGGGTTGCTTTTGTCTTTCTTCTGAAATTTGCAATCAATTGCATCCACTTGGTTTCTGAGCAGGTTCTATTTCTCTCTTCCTTCTATGACTTTCTCTAATAGAAGCCTTTCCATGGAATCATGGAATGGTTTGGGTTGTAAAGAACCTTAAGGATCATCTCGCTCTGACCCCTTGCCATGGGAAGGGACACCTTCCACTGGTCCGAGTTGTTCGGAGCTAGAGCTGGACTGGGCTGTCAGACAAAGGAGCATCTGTAGCTGAGGTTGGGCTTCAGGAAAAGCAAGAAAACTCTGCAATTGCATCTCTCCCTCATTCTTACCTGCATAAAATACTCCTCCAGTAAACAATCCACCCAGGGCTCCGCTACTTCCATCGGGCGGACTTCGTTGGAGATATCACAGCATTTTATCAGCACCATCTTCAGCTGGAAGAGGATAATACTTTAATACTGCAGTCTCAGTGCCAGCCCTTTTCCCCCTGTGCACAGCTTACAATGCAGTGGGAGGCAATGTTTTCAGCCAGAAAGGACAGTTTCAGGATTAAGTCAGAGGTCTTAAATGATCTGGGTTCTTCTCCCCTCTCTCAGCTACTCTGCGTAAATCGCTTTTCCCCCTTCTGTCTTGGTTTCCCTGCCTGTAGCCCTGGGATGTGTCACAGTGGGACATGCACTTATCTGCTGCCTGAAGAGATTTGGGCACAAATGACTATTAAGCTTTTTATGGAGCACTCAGAGGCAGCTGGGGAAAGATTTCCCTAGAAGTCAGAGACAACTGGATTGGGAAGTAAAGGAATCTAGAATGTGTGCTCTTGTGGATATTTTTTGCCCCACAGTAATGGACCTGATGGGACTCCAGTATTTCTAGAGCTTGAATAATCTCTTCTATATAGAGCTCTTCCAAATTGCAGTTATTTCTGGTGGGGCAGAGAATGTAGGAAGGATTCTTTTTTTGATATTATATATTGAATCTTGGTTTTTAAACCAACAAATATCAATCTAAAAGCTTTCACACTTATGCACAGAAAAATAACAATCCACAAAACCTCCTTACACAGGTCATGTGTTCTTCGTTTGAATAATCAAAATTTTCCATTTTTTCCTTGAAAGAGTCCAGTATTTCTGCGTGTCTTGCCATGTCTGTAGCCAGGATTAACGTAATTATCCCCTAACAAAGAAAACATGTTCACATATTAGCTCGACATTCTTTACAAAGTCTACTATTGCAGAGCTAAGCAGGGTCTTTCTTACACACAAAATGCCTCAGATACATTACATTGTTCATAATAAAAGGGGAAGTTTCTGACTTGGAACTGTCAAGGAAACTTGGAAGAGGGTTATAAAAAGTTCATGGTGTATGAAAATGATGGCTGGATTGATCTGTAACGCTGCTGTGATATTCCAGAGACACACTGAGGTTTTTCCTCTCTGACTGACTAATTGTAGAAAAGCAAACTGTACAGCAGGGTGTTAAAAGCCACATTCTGATTGCCCAGATCCACTTTTGGCTGCTTGGAAGGCACTGTGGGTTCTGCTGCTGACTCTTAGTGGCCCTAATAGGAGATGAAAACCCTTAGATGTGGATGCTGTCTGTGCTCATCCTCTTTGCATTATGGGCTTTGAAATCCTCAGATGCAGTCAGTGTGTCAGGAGCTCTGCATCCTCCTGCTAGGCAGAGTTCATGATGAGAAAACATGTGGTTAATTTAAAGCTGTGGGTTTTTGTACAGATTGATCCATTTGGGCCCCATGCCTGCTTCCCATGCCCTGGCAGAATCAGTAACTACAACCAGACCAGTGTCCAAGCCCTTGTATTGGTCTGCTTTTTCATTTGGTGTGTAAGGGTGGTGTCATGTGGAAATTAAGGCTGAATTTTGGCCCTTCAAGCCTCAATGGGAATTGTAGCATTGTTCACTGTCTCAGAGCTACCTGATGACTCCTAGTCCACCAGAGCCTCTTCCAGCAGTACAAATGCTCTGCTTTGCCCACTTTGAAGCCATTAATGAAATGTTCCCTTGAAGCATAAACTTCTGCCACAAGAGCTTAATCCTTCCCCAGCCCAGAGTTAATTGGCTCCTTGGATAATATAAATATATCCCCCCAGAATGTCATAGGCTTTAATAGTCAGCATGTACTCATTATTTCTCAGCCAGGCATCCCAGGGAGTAGCGCTGCTGCGGAAATTTTCCAAGAACCCCTCTTGGATCCTTCCAGCATGAGGGGCTTTCTCAGTCCTGCCCCGCAGCGAGAGCGATTCACTCGCGGGGAAGTCTGTGCCTGTTTGCACCTCCAGGGGCAGAATTCCTACCTGTCTTATCTGTTTGAACTGGTCCTGGTCGACATTGGAGAAGATGTTGTATTCTGGCTGGGAAATGATCTGGAAAGCCACGGCACAGTGGTGGTTCTCCAGCGGGGAGATGTCGTTGTAGCGCACGGCGAGCTCGGTCCGCGCATTTATCTGGTAGCTGATGTGGAAAGAAAGAGTGAGGGCTCCTGCAGACACCCACCAGCTGCTCTAAACCACGCTGCTTTCTCTTATTTACATCCTTTTCAATGCTTATTATAATTAGCTGCGGTTCGCTTTTTCGACTGTTGGTACTAAATCAGATTTTTAGAGAAAATAGATATTACTTTGATATCACCCCAGGCACTAATTCCCCTACAGGTTTGGGTTTTGGAGTTTGTTGGGTTTTTTTTTTCCTTCTTTAAATTTTACCAAGTCTCTGTAGTTTAAAATGATATAGGAAAAAAAACCACAACAAAACAAAAGGAACTGTCTGGGCTCCATTCAACCCCCACTAATATCAAATCGAGAGATTCCCACTGATCCCAGTCAGAACTGGCTTCTGCCTTTACTTAATGAATGGTTACAAATAAATTAGATTCTCCCTCTCTTTTTCACGCACACATATAAGCACAGAAAGGCGTCCGTGGGGCAACAACAGTAATTTCCTCACATGGCAATAAATAGAATAATATGAACTTCATCATTTATAACTATGAAATAATGTGTAAGTTAAATTCCCCTTTGCATTTTAGTGCCATTATTCCATTATAATAATTTATATCTCTCTTAACAACTGTGAAGTATTTTTTTTCACTTGTTTTCTCAGGAGTTGGGGGAAAGTGTTGGAAGAAATCCGAAAACTCATTTTCCTTACAGAGCCAAGGAGAGCTGGCAACCCCACCCCAGACCTGAGTTTGCTGCATGAAGCTCTGCCTTGGCCCACGTGTGAGGGAACAGCAGGGCCTTGGGGAAAGGACATGGCCAGCTCAGGCTGCGAGAAGGAAAGCCTGATCTGCCAAAAAATGCCAGCTGGTATTACCTTCCCAATAAATTTCAGGGGAAGAGAAAGCAAGGGACAGACTTACGTGTTGTTATAGCCTGGATGGTCCAAGTCATGGCATACTGCTGCAGTCATGAGAATCAAAATGTCAATTTGGGAAAATTTCTCCTGTGAAATGCAAAACATTAATGGAATATTATGATTCCTACTTCCCCTATCATCATAAATGAAAAGAAGTATAAAACCCCCTTTATTTACTCTTTGGAGAAATGCAAATCTGAGCGAAGAGAAGTATTTTTCCATAGATGAATTTAATTCAGCCAAGAAAGAGAATTCTGCCTTCCCTTCCAGTAAAAATGACTCAGATTTGCCTTTGTTGCATTAAATAACAGCAGCTCAGAGGAGGCAATTTTCTTGAGACTTGCTATTACAGCAGAGATCATATGAAAGCACTGAGATATTAGAACAGTCTCTCACAAGTCATTTGAGCACCCTGATTAGTTAAGGGAGGGCTGGGGGATGGCTCAGTTGCCATTGCATTCTGCATTAACTAAAGTCAGGAAAAAGAGTGAGAAAAATTAAATGTTGTGTTCCCACAGCTTTTCTGAACAGGATCAACTTCCATTAAGGAAAGATTTTCTTCATATTCCTACTGGCAAGAAAGTATATTTAACCCAGGATCTGAGCTGTTTAACTACGGAGAAGAAAGGGGGGAATAAAAGCAGTTTTGTACAGAAATTACATTAATATATGAACTCAGGTTACCCAGACAACGAAATTAATTGATGCCTATGGTTTTGGACAAAGTACAGGCCAAATGTGAATCCTGCATACAGTACATGCCAGGGATTATTTGCAGGAGCTCATCCTGGTGCCAGCACACATGTGGAGGATATTCTGTGTCCCAGATGAAGACCATGCCCACAGGCCATAATTCAGTAGGCTTTGGGATCTGATTCCTGGATGTTTCACGCTATCAGAGAGCCAAAAGAGCTTCTGTGTACAAACTGGGGATACCCAGGAGGCGAATTTAGCTTCCCAGCAGTCTCAGAAAGCTGCGTGGGTGCTTGGGGTCTGGCATGGGATGGCTGTGAGTGGGCCCCACGATGGGAATGGGCTGATGCTGTTGAGCTGGGGTCATACCTGGAGGCTGCAGAGCGAGATCATGCTGTACATCATCTGGGTCACGCAGAAGCAGTGCCGGAAATTGTGGAAGGGGTTGTTTCTGTAATTGTCGTGAATACACAGCTGCAGAGAGAGGGAATGAAGCAGTCAGGGACAGGAGAGCTGTTTCCCAGCGACCCTGGAATCACTGTATACCCCTAGAGGGGTCCTGTGGAGCCCAGTAGCCTTTTCTGCTAGGTCAGAGTGACAGCACACGGCACTCTGATAGTCTCTGCCTTCCTTGGGGGGGATGGTGAGAGATTTCTGTGTTTCGAGAATTTTTCCGCAGGTAAAGCTCGCAGCAAATTCTCTCTCATACCAGCCAGCAGTGGGTAAACCTCCCAGCACAGCTGTGAGTGCATCTCGGTTCTCAGACAGGACTCTGTGCTCCCGTGCTGAATTTGTATTTCAAACCGTGCGGTGGCTAAATGGCAACTTTGGGGGGCGTGAAGAACTCAGGACTCCCCATTCCCCTCTTTTGCTGAGTGCAAATTGCAGCTCGGAAATCCTGGAGGCTGAAATGTGGCTGTTGCTTCATCTGCAAACACTGAGGCGGCCCTTTGGGGACGTGTTGCTTGGCAAAGTGAAGATGTGAGTGCACTCGCTGTGGCACACCTACACCTGTGTGGATTTCCTAAGCCAGGCAGCACAGGAGAGGTTTAGCTGTTATGGGCTCACGAGGCTGGTTGTTGTGTGGTTTAACTTTCTGCAGATCCTGGCTCTGTGCCCTCATTCCCCAGGCAAGATAAAGCCTGTCTTTCCCTGTGTCCTCGCTACTGTCAGCCAGGCTGGCTGAGTGAAGCTGGCACAGCTGGGTTAGCACATGGCACGGTCACTATTCCAGTGCTCTGGATAGCCTTTGGTATCCTGTTCTGCACAAAAATGACAAGCACTGGCAGCACTGCTGGATCCTTCTGCTGAATCCTCTGTAGCCTGGACCCTAGAGAACCCTTATGCACGTGCTTCAGGTACTGAGCCTGAATTAATGTCATGGACAGAATTCCTGTCCCTTCTCCAGTTAATAGTGAATTTACTTCAGGAGTCCTCGTGCCCCACCACCATCAAACCCTTTAACCTGGGATCTGCCTTCCAGGAAGCCTCAAAGCTCTGGATAAGGCCAAGAGAACCGTGGGTTTTCACTGCTTATTTCATATTTGGGGGGCTTCATTGCAAATGCTGTTCGGGTTGCCCTGCAGCAAGGTTTTTAGGCATTTATTTCAAAATGAATAACTGATGGCAGAGGATGGTTGGCAGCCAGGCTCACAGGGGGTGGGCAGTATCTCACAGCCTCCATATGGACAGGCTGGCCATGCCCAGGCACTGTGCAATGTACACATCCAGCTCTGGAGCCCAGGGCATCCCAGGGGACTCCTGACTCAGAGCACTGAAGGGATGGAGTGCCTGGGTTGCATTAGTCATCCTTTCCTCCTCTTTCTGGCACATTTCTGTCGCCAGTGGATGTGGGAGCAAGAAAACAAGTGTAGGCACGAGGTGGCTTTTTCCCACCCACTTAAGTTCAGACTGATGCTGTTGCCTAAAATTAAGGCATCGATGCCCATAGTGTGCCTGGGGAAGTATCATAGTTGGGAGCAGAGTCCTTGGGGCTTTTTTAAATCATCTTTCTTTCTGCAAAGCTTGTGTTTAAGAAAGGAAACCTCACCCTGTCCTACCTTTGTTGAAAACATACAATAACCCCCCGCCTTGTTGTTCAGAAAGAAGCTGTCTTAAATGCTGGTGGTAACAAATTACTTGGAGACACAAGCTGAAGGGAGCTGCCTGCAGCAATGTGTGTGGGTGGCATGTTGATGTGTGTTGACATATCACCTTGTTTCCCATGTTTTCAGGCTGTGAGAGGAGGAGATTTTCTGTTTTATCTACTCTGTGCCAGCCTTGTTTGTATTTGGTTTCATCCCACCCCTTCTGTTCAGCTGCTTTCTAAGACCAACAGCTTTTCATTTGCCTTCCCTGGGGGGGACATTTCCCACTTCTTGATCTTTTTTTTTTTTTTTGTGTGTCTCCTGTGAGGTAGTCACACTATTTCTCTGAAAAGGTTTCACCAGGCATAAATGTCAGGTGAGCCTTATGCCTTCTGTGGTGACATTTTTCCCCTTTTTCCAGACCCTGCTCAGCCTTGTGCCTGGTTGGCTTTATCCTGCAGCGGGACACCAAGCAGTGAGAGCCACTGGTGCTTCCTGATCTTGCTGTGCTTCAACATATGATGAACCCAGTGCTTCCTTTGTGTTTTCTGGCCACCCTCTGAATTCGTGGAATTCCTCCAGGCCTTTCTAGGGGTCTGCATCCATCATGTAAAACAGTGGCCTCTGTTCTGTGCAAGCTCTTGGGGTAATTAGAAGAGATTAAAGAGATGTAGGTCTTTACTACAGGAGTGGTATGAAACCTCTATGTAATGAACTTCCCACCATGATGTTTTTAATTATTATCTCAATCAATTTGTCAGACAGAGAGATAAGTTTCAGTAGGTATAATTCTTCAGGCTATCTGAGGATACTTTTTAAACGGTGGATCAGTGGATCAAATGTTTCCTGTTCTACAGTTCTATAAGAACGTGATTTTTTTTTTTCCTAAGAAAACCAATATATTCTTCATCTCTTTCAGCAAATGATTTCTTATGCTCTTCCTTGGACTTGAAAATTTGCTGATTTTTAAATATTCCAATGTGTCTTCTTTAGACATCTCACTTTTGGTATGATCTCATCTTCATCACATCTTGCATCTCTGCAATACTCTTAACATTTAAGGCAGAAGCAAAGGAAGTTATTTAGCTTCTCAGCAATTCCTTTTCCTTCCTGGCCTGCTTTTTTACTCCCTGTGATTTAGTACATCTAATGATTATTGGCTTTTTTTGCCCATATCTGATGACACTTGTCTTGCCTCCATTTACAGGAGGTACCAAGAGCATTCAGCAGAAATTAGCTGCTGCCAGCAAATGAAAACTCAGCAAACAAATGCAAAACAATTAAAAAAAAAGAAAAAAAAGTAATCTGTGACCACAAGAATGCAAACATTTTTCTGAAGTATTTAAATGTTAACAATTTGTTGTATAGACTGACTGCTTTCAGTGGGATTACTCATGTGAGTCGAGGTAATTCCCTGGCTAGATGTCTCTCATTTATTGATTTCTGAATGTGAAAAATTGCATATGTAATTTGAAATACTTACCAACCACCTCTTTAACGTGATGGGATTGATGTTGAAGTCCTTTACCAGCCCGAGATCGTGGTACATGTGTTCCAAACAGCTCAGCATCTGCAGGCAGGGACAGACAGGTTATGGGTTTGATAAACACCCCTTTATGATCCACAGCAAAGTGAATTTCCTCCTTGCAAGCATCCAGTAATGGCAGAGCCCTCTTGTTAAGATGAAAGAAGGATGTTCAAAGATTTCATGATTAAAGACATTGCAAGAGGGGAGACAGAGAGAGGGTCTGAAAGCTTTTTGAAGCAGGCAAATTGCTGTTGACTTGGTAGCTTTTGTGCAGGGCTTTGAATCACACCAGCACTCTCCAGTAATGAAGCAATTCCCGCTCAGGAAAAAGCACTGACATTTTTCTAACTCATCTGGGATATGTTCTAACGCTCAGTGAAATCAGTGGGAGCTTTTCCACTGACTCCAAAGGCTTTGGCTGTGCAGAAATGGATCAAGCCTGAGATGGATAGAAAAATGACAGCAGAAAATAAGAGATCCTGAAAGAAACATTTATTCTAGGCATGTGTCAATACCATCTTTCTCTATGACTTCTTGTGAGTTCCTAATTCCACTATCTTAGCTCAGATCTCTCATTTAACACAAGATCTCCTGTTATAACCCTACGAAATTGCAGCAGTTTTGTGACTACCCCCTCATAGACTGTAACTAAGAATCCCAGTGGCTGAAATGCAAAGGCAGGCAGCTCTTTTGAGACAACATCTGCTCTGCAGGAGAAAAGGGGATGCAGGCAATTTAGCACCACCGTTCCCATTTAATCATTTAATCAAATACTATTGGAAAAAAAAAAAAGATATTGATAATCTCAAGTGTTTGGGCGTTCAACAGCAGCCACCAGTCAGAAATGAACAGGCTCCCAGGAATTTTATGTATCTGCATTCCCATTTCTAAAGGCTAAATCTGCAGGGCATGAAATGTAGCCATTGTATTAGAAAATGCAGTTCTTAGGCTGTAAAGCGAGCCAGGAGTTTCCAACATGATGAATACAACGTCACAAATACAGCCTTGGAGACATTTTTGGGTTAGTTTTCTGCCGTTTAGGCTCTTAAAAACTCACCGGAAAAAAATGATTTAACCTAATGAAACTTTATACTTATCCAGGGAATAAACATAATTCATGGGGTAACAAGTGGGCTGAGTCTGAGTCATCCAGGCAGGAAGAGACTTTCCTGCAAGACCTGAGGGACAGTGTCACGAGCTGAATTTTGCTCAGATCACATGGACAGCATTTTGCTGAAGATCCCCTTGTCCTTGTCCTGGGCCATGAGGTAGAATATATGTTTTGCAATAGTTTCATAAAAGACTTTCCAAGACAATAAACTTGATCCAGGAGGGCTGAATTGCCCTCAGAAATGCCTGTCTACCCCCCAGCTGTTGCCAAGGGAGCTTTGGGTGAGCGACAAGGTGACTCTCAGTCCCAAAGCTCTTGCCCCTGAACACATGAGAACCTCAGCTTTCATTTTTTAGCTTTCTTGATCGGCAGCAAAAGCTTGAATATGGGACTTCTTTAAGGCTTGAAAGTGAGAGAGCATTTGAGAAAGAGAACACAGGGTTTTGCTGCATAGCTCTGTTTACTGAGGTGCTGCAGAGCACATTATTCATTTGCTTACAGATGATTATGGTTTATGGCCTGCCTGTCCCACACATGGGCAAATGCTGATTGCTCAACAAGCATTGACAGAATTGAAATATTCTCTGTAAACACAAACCAGAGCTAAAAGGGTGAGATAAACCCCATATGGTGCTCAGCTCAGTAGAGCTTGTGTGGAGTCTTATTTTTGGGCAGAACTCCTCCTTGCAGGGCATGTCTAATCCCCACACCCTCATGTTAGCCTCCTTCATCCCTCCATATAGTGTTTCCTATAGTACTCTGAATGAGTTACTGTGCTAAAATACCAAACCCTCAGCACACAAGAATCCGTGGATAATGGGTTTTGTTTCTCCTTATTCTTTCTTAATAGTCAGAACAACGAGCCGACAGTGTTATGGTCCACCTGTGAGAGTGTAATGCCTTCGTGCTGCAAAGACCTGACAGGAATTTCAAAGCTGTGGGCAAGGCAGATGTATGGCCGTGGCACAGAGGAAAAGGGGCTGGAGAGGGAGCGGTGGCTGCAGAGCACCTCTGACCACACAAGGGAAGCTCTGCCAGCCTCTGCAAAATGGGAGATGGACCTAAAGCCACCAGAGCGTCCTTCTCTTGTTCTACCAGACATAGGAAAGATCTTGCAGGGAATATGATGTTCCTGTGGATGCAGTATGGGGTGTTTTCCCCTTGTCATGTTGGACTGCAGGTGCTGAGTCAGAGTGGCTCTTGCATGCACAACATCTGATTGAGAAGGTAATTAAGGAGATTGCTGCTGGGAGCGCTGCTGGCACTACCCAAGCCTTCCCTGGGGAAAAACCCAGCACTAAGTTTTTCCTGAGGGAGATTTGATCGTATTTGCTGAATCTGAATTTACATTGTATTATAAGCTGTCCCTTCTTAGTATCCTTCTCCCTCATGTGTCTGCAGAGGTTTACACAGAACCTCCTGCAGCACAAGTGGTGAACCGTGAATAATACCAGCAGCAGCAAGGAAAAGAAAGAAGAAAATGAAGCAAAAAGAAAACACTAATTGGCTGTGCAGACAGCTTTGCAACCTCTTCAGAACACCCTGCAGTGTGATTCACACCCCTTGGCTGAAGGGGTGTGAATCGATGCGTGAACCTCTGCCTGCTGCCTTATTGATTTGAGTGGAGTTACTGATGATGTGCTTAAGCACACACTTCGCTGGGGATTGATCTGTTCAGATAAAATGGTATGAGAGAACTCACGTGGCAGTAATGAGAGTGCACCAGTTGTGGGACATCACTAGGAAAGGACTTAATTAAAAATAAAGAGGAATCAGGAAATGATAATCAGTATAATCTACCTGCCATCTGTTAGGAAAAACTACTGTACATAGTTTGTGTGACATGAAAATAAAAGAAGTGTAGAGAATAAGGAGCAGAAAAGGGGGAAAGCACTGCAGACTGTCTCTCTTCCGGCCTTGCTGATTCTCAGAAAGTGCTAAGCCAGCTGACATGGCATCCCTACCTCATTGGGCTCCCACAGCCAGACGTCAAAGGTTGGTTTCCGAAGTGCTTCGATGGTCTCCTGGGACAGCATGTACTGCAGACAAAAAGGCACTTGGTGTAAGTAGGGGTGTCCCTGGCATGGGACCTGCTCTTGAAATGTCTCTGGGACTCAATGGGGTTCCATTTATGAGGGGTTTAGCCCACATTTCCCAAGGATCTCTCCGAGCTGATCTCTCCCTCTTCCCACCCGAACCTCCTCACCCTTCCCACCAGCTGCTCATGAACACACCAGGATGTCCATGCCTGATGGATGGAGACCCTTCTGGAGCAGAGAAGTGTGGGATTTGGGAAAAAAGAGAGGAGGAGAGCAGAGGTGTTATGGGCAGGGAAGTGAGTAAATCCAGCATTGTAATATAAAAGACACAGATCCATCTCTGTCTGCGCTGGTTCTGCTGCCTGCAGAGCACGTCTGGTTCTGCTGCCTGCATCCAGTTATGGCTGGATGGTGTGAAGTGTCTCTGCTTACAGTGTTAAATTAGCTGGTGGGTATGATATATTTATTTTCAGATGATTTATGCTCCCATTTTGAGTGTTTTTTCAAGAACGCCCACAATTTCAAATTGGTTGTCAGCCTGAAAGATTCAAGTGATTTTTTATCATTATGCTCAGAAGCTTAAAATAAAAATCAAGCTCATTCACCAGTTACAATTGCATACAAAATGAAAAAAAAAGGAACACGGAGGGTTAAAAGACATGGGCTCTACAATTCATCTTTCCAAGACTCTATTCATCAGAGTCTTTCTGGGACTCAAAAACCTTGTGGCTTTGATTGTCCCATTTACCATGGCTGTCTCTAGTTTGGGATTACTGCCCTGAGCAGATGAACGACGTTTTCTGAGCCAACAAACTTTTTTTGATACTTAATCCTGGGAGGAACAACACCAAAGATCACTCTTCCTTCTTGAGGAGGCAAGGAAATGATACAGAAATACAATACGGGTCTAGGAATGATACAGAAACACAAACTACCAGTTTACTCTGCAGACAATAGCGCAGCTCTTCATAGCACCTGTTGTTAGTTCAAGATCCTAATATCAGAACAGTACATCAAGGTTTGATCTGATATATATATATATACTTATCCAGGGGAAAAAAAATCTGGTTTAGAAATTATGTGTGTTGTGAAATGGTGTGTTAGTGTCAGGAGCACAAGCCCCTTGGGCAAAAGTTAATTAAAAGATATATAAGTCCCACGGTCTTTGCTCCAGAGACCTGGAGGTCACTTTTTGCCAGGCAGAGCAGAATAAACAGCAGAATTTACAGCTCGTTGCTCTGTAAGGCTCTGAAGGCAAATAATGCAAGGATTCATGTCCATGTCAAACATCTGCATCACACGAGGATTTCAGAGTGGCTGAGCCAGCTTTGATGTGTGCAAGCCCAGAGTTCAACTGTGATTTGCACACATTTGTGTGAGCTGGTGTTCTGTCAAGGTGTGAGCTGGGCACTGAGCAGACACAACCTGGCAGCCTTTAATAACTCCTGAGGGCAAAGGCTGCCAGGGCTAGGGCAGAAAATTCCTGTGCTCTTCGTGGTTTCAGCCTCATTCATCTCTTGTACTTGCCCTGAAGACATTTTTCTTCCAGTGTTACAGTTTTCTCTAGCAAATACACTAACTCATTTTCACAGGGACAATGAATCATTCCGGAGAGAATCCAAAGCCACATTTTCTCTTTGTTTCCCTAGGTGAAGCATCCCCGTAAATTACTTTTTAAATTAAAAAAATAATCCATTAGGAGAGAACGGGAAGCAGCAGTACTTTCAATTAGAGCACCACATTGTAGGGTATTTTGGATTGTTGCTATGAGCGTGGAGAATAAACAAATATAACCAGACAAAGGAGCGTTAAATGTTGACAAATGCAGAATGTTCATTAACATTTCAAACACTAATGAGCTTTCAAGTATTAAAGACTGCTGAGGATTGAACTTGAAGTCACCGCAGGCAACGGCAACTCTTTCCACTGGCTTGCAGGGCTTTTGGATCAGGCTTTGGATTTAGAATAACTGGGAGGTAATGGCTGGGGAGTCGTGCAGTGTAAAGCAGAGCTTGTCAGGATGGCAACCATGTAGCAGGATTTTTGGGGAAGAGCATTGAGTGGTACCTTTGGGTAGGATGGTACATCCCGCCGGGGAGCCGGTCTCTTGTTTTCATCCAAAAAGCTGTACTTGCAGGGACAGTTAGTCCTGAAATGAAATATTCATCTCTTAGCATGCTGGGAACAGAAACACAGTGCCTTGAAAAGTGCTGGAAGTACTCTAGTCTCTCAGTAGGCATCCCAGGGAATTACCCCACTCCCCAACCTCTCCCTTTCTAACGTGGTGCTGCTCAAATGCCCTAAAAGTGTGATCCTCCTTAGGATTTTCTCCCCTTGTGCAACTCTTCTGTTGTCCCTTCTCCATCTATTTGCATTCAAGGGAGGAGGATCTGTCTTCAGGCCTGTATCCATGGATACTCCATCACTCCTATTTAAACCAAGTAACTTTTCCTTTCAGTGCTGTCCGTGGCAGGCATCCTTCTCCAAGGCTGGCAGAGCCCTGCCAGGGACCACACTGGGTATGGACACTGGATCATCTGAGCTTATTTACTATTCTAGGCACCCACTGAGCCTTATTGCAACAGCAATGAGGCACAGACTCGGCAGACACGTCTGCTTGGCTCCCCAGTCCTGGAGGAAGGGAGTCGCTGCCAGAAATTACAGGTAATTAACACTTGCCCACTTATTAACACCAGCACCCACTGTCAGTTACCTGTTCTTCCTTCCTCTGCAGATTGAACAGCCAAGCTGAGCAGAGGACCAGGGGAGACCTCATCACTCTCTACAGCTCCCTGAAAGGAGGTTGTAGCCAAATGGGGGTTGGGCTCTTCTCCCAGGTAAGAGGAGGAAATGCCCTCAAGCTGCACCAGGGTGGTTCAGGTTGGGCATCAGGAAGGATTTGTTCACTGAAAGGGCTGTCAAGCATTGGAAGGGGCTGCCCAGGGAGCTGGTGGAGTCCCCATCCCTGGAGGTGTTCAAGGAATTACTGGATGTGGCACTCCATGCTCTGGTGTAGCTGACAAGGTGGTGATTGGTCAAAGGCTGGACTTGACGATCTTGGGGGTCTTTTCCAACCTAAATGATTTTGTGATTCTGTAACTGGTGGTGGGAGATGCCCAGCAGCCTTCCAGCCTTCCAGAACTTTGAGGTCCTGCACTGCAGTGGGAGAGCAGTTTCTTGCCTTACAGCCACAATACTTTAACACAGCATGTGTTTCCCAGGTATTTGTTCACTTGGGCTTTATTAAACCTCCTGTGAGGCCAATCTGCTTGCCTTTTGCATTTATAGACTTATGGAATGGTTTGGGTTGGAAAGAACCTTATAGATCATCTACTTCCAAATCCCCTGCCGTGGGCAAGGATGCCATTTACTAGATCAGGTTGCTCAGGGCCCCATCCAACCTGGCCTCAGACAGTTCCAGGGATCTATCCCTGTAGCTCTAACATTTGGATTATCCTTTCTCATTTTTCAAGCCTCCTGCCAAGGGAAGCAAAAAGAAACCCCCCAAAAGAAGCCAAGCAAAGCATTCTGCTAACTTTATTTGTCCCTTTTATGACCACTTCATACATTCTGTATTGCACCTCTTTTTAGTGCTCCTCTCCTCTGCTGGGAATTGGTCCAGGTGCCTTTTCTGCTCCTAACATTGATATATGCCACCATTTCTGGTGGCAGTGTCTGAATCCTGTGAAAGTTACGCCGTCTTACAGTTCATGGGGGTCAGCTGACTTCAACCAGCTGCCTTTTCCTGCCCTGTTTAAGGAGATTCTCAGTTGGTGAAAAGCTGTCTTAATCGTTTCTAAAGCTGTTTCCTCAAAACTCCACTCTGTGGGGTATTAGTCGGATAAAAATAGTGAAATTGGGGCATTCCTTGCCCTAATTGGAGCTGACTACCAGGGTTAGCTGAGGGTCAGCCAAATATCTCTAATTCCCAGCTGTAGTGAGATATTGAAGCCTTCATCCCAGCACACTGGGGAACACACCAGAGCCAGGATGCATCAGACCTTCACAAATGTAAAGCTGTATCTGCAAATGATCATGATTTTAAATGACACTATAATGCTATTAGCATCTGCCAGTGGTGAGTGCAAAAGGCAGACAAGCAGAAAGAAAGCAATTTGAGGGGATGCAAATGGGGCTGCTCTGCTCTTCTGAAGAGGGGAGAGATGCACAACTCGCTGTGCACGATGACTGTTACAAACCTGGCTGCTCAACCTTACTCTGTCATTTGGAAACAGCAAATATAAGAATAGGTAAACACACAAGAACACAGCTGTGTCCACTGTGATGTCATTGAAGGAATAGGTGCACTCACACATATTTATGTGCATTAATTAAATGTAGATGTGATCCCTAATTGCAACTGCAGCGCATTATCTAGCAAATGACACTGCACAGGGGATGACAAGTCTGAATAGGAGCAAATACATTTCCACTTGGCCTGGGATGCCTCTGTTCCCCCACTTTTCTCATTCCAAGGGGAGAGAGCTTGCTCAGCTGCTCTGATGTGAAGCATTCCTAGGCTGGGGTCACTTTAGGCTAGTGGCATGGCTCCTGTGGAATTATGGTAGCTTAGGAATAAGGAATCCTCGGCAGATGGGGTCCCTCTTAATGGCCAGCCACCAAGGAGCATCCTCTCCTCATCTTGTAGCAAAGAGGTGAATTGTAGCCACTGAACCTATCTACATCCTGCTGCTGCTGGAAGACCCAAGCCCTTAGGGTACAGATAACCATGGACAGGATTCTGGGCAAGGAGGAGAAGCCTCTGTGCATCTGGGAGGAGGAAGATCCAGCTCCAGGTAACCCAGAGGAGCTGTGACAGGCAGCTGCCATAACGATGTGACACAAAGTGATGCTGAGCAGAGCGCGAGTTGGGCTCCTGCTTCAGCGAAAGCAGCTGTGCAGTGTGAGCTCAGAGCAGGCCAGTGCGGGTGTCTGTGCCCAGAAATACCTGCTGGTGAGCTCCACACCCATTTTTACCACAGCTTTCCAGCCTCACACCCCAAGCTGGGCTCTGGCTTTTGTCATATCTCACTACGAGACCTCGGTGAAGATCACACCCCAGCTGGAGCCACCTGCACTGGGCACACCCCATTCCGTCTGTTCTTGTTAACAGATTGCTGTTTATACTACAGAACGTAGACTGCAAGGTGGCAAGACCTGCAGAAAGGAATGAGTCATGGCTGCTGAGACAGTCTCGTACTTCCTCAAGTGCGTGGCGGCAACCGCGCGAACGCAAAGTTGCCGTCGCTTCTGGTTCTGCTCTTAATTTTCTATCCACCCTGTGCATCACTGTGGTCCTAAGTGCAACTCTCCCAGCTCCCTACAACAGCTGAAGGTAAGACAGATGGACACACACCTTATTCTCCATCACTCCCAGCACAAATCAGCGCAGGAGTTTTGCGCCTGCTGCCAACCCGAGCTCTGAGTGCTCTACTGAGATTTCCTCACACACCTCAACAAGAGATGGTGCAAGCCACAGGGCAAGCTGCAGTCCACCCTACTGGTATAAACGTGGGGCAGACCTGAGGTTAATAATGTTACTCTGCATTTATGCTAATTTGACAGCTAAATTTGGCCTCGAGACTTAATGGGAATGTATTAACGTTGTGCCTCCTGACATATCCGGATAACGACATTTATAAAAGCGAGTGATTATAAAGTCTGAATTTTTTAGCAAATCTCACACTGCCCTCAGTAGGAAAGAGCTTTGATTAAAGGTCAGAGGACTTGACCCCAGATGAAGAAAATTAGAGAGGCTGTCAGGACAGCATATTTACATTTGCTGAGAAAAATCCTCTTCAGCCACATTTTGAGGAACATGGTATATCCCTCTTCAGCAACCTTCCTGGAAGTACTCTTAATCTCACAGTGATGATTTGTTTGTCCTAATGGGATATTTCAGTGACATGGGGGGGACACTTTCCAGCCAAGAATATGTACTGTACAAAAAGCAATTTTTTTTCTGCTGGTGTTTTAATTGCAGCTAAACCAAGCTTCACAATCACAGTAAGCCCTTGAATTAGAAAGTAAATTCCCAATTTATTGTTGAATTTGAAATGGATGATTTATAATAGCGTGAGGTCATAATTAGAAGAGCTGCTACATATTTATTTGGTCCTTTCCCAGGATATATTGGAGCTGATTCGAGTGTTAGCTGGTTCCCAACAAAACACTGCACTGTGCAGAAGTTCTTTTCCCAACCCCTCTCTCCCAGTAAATCTGGAGGAAGAATTCCCACTCTGTGCGGTGAAAAATAACTGTTGCAAGACCTTTCTCTCTATTCCCATGGCCCCAGCTAATTTAACTGATGAATGGCAATAGATCTTCAAAATGTTAAATTAAAGCCACCGTCCTTAATGGTTATCGGTTTCCTTGCTCTTTTACTTCTAAGCCCAGAAGGTAACTCAATTCTGTGGAAATGTTGCATTAGGGTTTGAAACCAGATCCTTATTTCTGTGGTCAGGTCGGAAGCAGAACTTACCTGCTGCTTCTTGCTGCCATTTCCTCCCTCATCTTTTTAATGTCGCGCTTGCATTTCTCAATCTCCACCACTTTCAGGCCTTCCACTGTCAACAAAGGAAAACAACAGGGGTGTTACCATGGCAGAAGTCGCAGGATCTCGTTTCAAAGAGCTTTTTAACAGTGGGGTTATCCAGTGAGCCAGCAAGCCCTTACAGACTGCCTCGGTTCTCACACATGCAGGTGCTGCCAGAGCGATATATCCTGGGAACCCACAGGAATTCTCTGCTGCCAGTTTAGTTAATAGCCACAGTATTTTAATTCACAGAATGGCTGCAGCGTCTCAGCTTTTCCAGGATTGTTAGCAGCAGTCGGCTGTTCCGCTGCCTTCACTTCTCTGCTGTAGAACACGAATCAAAGGAAATCCTGAGCAAAAAACCCCTCCCGCGATGGGGTGATAAGCGCAGGCAAACACGTCCCGGTAGGATTAGAATTCCCATTAAGATAAAAGGTTTTAATTTGAAAGTTCATGCGGAGCATTGAGGAGCTCTGGGCTGCATTGCCAGATAGGGAAAAAACAAAGTGAGAATGCAGAGGGGAGAGAAAAGCGTTGAAAAGTTTTGCTCTAAGGATTGATTTCTCTCTCTCTCTTTTTTTTTGTTTTGTTTTAGGTATTGAAAACCTGTCACTTTGTTTCGCCGATCAATTTTGTAATCAAAGGCTGTTCCTGCATGAGGCTCAGAAATCCTATATTTCCCTGCTGTATGTAATTGTGAGAGCCACAAGGCAAAAGGTTTGATTGGCTGTTTATGCAGCACACACTTTACTCCACATAGCCATGAGAACCCAACTCAGTGTGACTATGAGAATATTCTCTTTTTTTTTTCCCCCCCCCTCGTTGAGTATCATTGTGCTCAAGGACATAACACATTTATTAGGTATATGTCGTTCATCTGCACTCATTTTACAGCTCATTTGTTTGCTGGACTCACAGTTTGCATGGACAAGCTGTGGTTCAGGGAACTCCGGGGAAATGTGCAATCGGGACAATCAGTATTCAGTAACTTTCTTGGAAAATCACAGCCTGAATCACAGTTATCTGGAGAGCAGCATGTAAGCGATAAAAACCTGCCTCGAAGGGCACAACTCTGTAGATAAGCAGAGTTTTGTTTTTGTTTCGCCAGTAACAACAAAGATTGTTGGAACTGGGAGAGGGGAAAGAGATGTGTATGAACCAAGCCCAAAATATTAGGACAGGAAGGGGAAAGGGGTTTGATTTACACTTGTTTACAGGAATATTCTCTGTTTAAAAATCCCATTTGCAAAGTTCTTTTTTTTTTTTTTTTTTTTTTTTTTTTTTTTTTTTTTTTTTTTTTTTTTTTTTTTTTTTTTTTTTTTTTTTTTTTTTTTTTTTTTTTTTTTTTTTTTTTTTTTTTTTTTTTTTGTCTATCATCGTTACAAGCAATGTCTTTGGGTGATCACAATGTGATGATACAGGTAAATTGCTGTCCTGCTTATTAAGCTCTTCACTCTGGATTATCTGGCTGCTCTGTTTTGGGGTTCTTTGTTCAACTGCTGACGATCAGCTGCAGCTGACCCACAGGCCCCTTGCTGCTGTGTGCCACCTTGGTTAATTGATCCAGGGGAAATTCGTGGGTATCCCATTTGCCAAGCTGTCTAAATGGTGGCTGGTGCCTGTTTGAAGCAGTGGGAGCAAAGCAGAGTTATCAGAGTGGCAGGGAAGTGGGGCAGGCAACTGCAGGGGGGGGGAAAGTTCTGGTGCAAAATGGCAGCCCCGAGCATTTTTTTTCGTATTGCATCTCCTTGGTTTTCATCCCGAACCTCTCCAGGGGAGCAGAGAATTTACATAATTATTTTTCTTAAGGTAGATGTGAGATGCTTGCAAATTGCAAAGGGTTTTTTTTTTTTTGCCAGCCTCCTTATTCATGTGTGGGCTGCTGTGCAAACACTGGAGCAGAGCAAGTGAAGCCACGGGACAAAACATTCCCAGCGCTTCCAAGGGGAAGTGACAAGCTTTAGCTGGGATTTTAAAATCAGTTAAAGAATTTGGCTCCTTGAAAACACGTCTCTGACGTGGTCTCCAGACAGGAACGGGAAGGAAGCTGAGAACTTTCCATGTGAGGTGCAGATGTAGTGCTGTCATGAGCACTTATCCCCACACACACGTCCACCCCCCCCCCCCCCCCCCGGGAAGAAATCCTGGAGATCACATGTGGAAGTGGTGGAAAAGGGATCTCTGAAGGAGGCAGGAGTAAAGGAGGGCAAAATAAAAGCGCAGTTCTTTTCACATTTGGCTTGCAAATGATAAATGGCCTTGTCATGTGCACTGATTAAGGGGCCATTATATTACTCTGCAGCAAGAAATACCTTCTGAAAAGACCCTGTGCTGTCTAAATAAATCCTTGGGCTGAATCCAGCAATGAAACATGGCTCTTAAAAGCAACCTCTGGGAGCCCAGCTCGAGCAGGGAGGTTGGACACTCCCTTTCTCCCACAGTTTTGCTTTTCAAACATGACAGCCAGGGATTCTTCCAGAACGTTGCAGATTTAGCTCCGTTGCAAACTCTGGAAGTCCAATTTCGAGCAGATGGGTGCACTTGTAGACAGGCAACCCTGGGAGCTCCTTCCTTCCCACAGGTTGAGACTGCTGGAGCTGGGACTGGGAGTGCTCAGGGAGACTGGCAGCTGATTGATACATCAGATGTTAATTCCATCAGCAGAGAGAACCCTCGTTTGGGGACCAGGGAGTTCAGTTCACCTGCATGGCACAGCAGTTCAAGATAGGCTGTGTGCAAGTGCACAACTTTTTCCTGCTGGCAGTGTCATGAAGTCCTTCCTTATCTCCCTGCACTGCCTTGGGCTGCCAATGCTGAAGGGCAGCATGTGTGCCAGGGATCCCAGAGGATCACCAGGGGTCAAAAGCAGCCTTTTTTGGCTGGGATAGTTGCTTCCCTGCGCTGCCAAGGGGATAGAAATACCCTCAGGAATGTTTGCCTCATTTGCTCTAGTCCATGGCATTTAGCTCTGAGCACTGGAGCTGGTCAGAAGTTTCACTGAAAATGCAGAGTGACTGAGCTAATTCCACCCCCCTTCTTCTTTTGGATAAAAGAATAAATCAGTGGAGCCCTGGGAAAAACAGCAGCCAAGCAGACAGGAGGAATTCCTACTCAGGCTTTTTGCTGGGTTGTAGGCACACTGCAGGTTACCCCCTCCGTGGACATCCCACAGCTCCAGGAGCCTGAGGCTGGGCTGGCTGCAGGAAGAGGTCCCCCTGCAGCTGCTCTTCGAAGAAGGACATTTTTTCCTCTCCCTGCTGACAAAGGCATCAGTCTCTCTGAGCAGCTTCAGGGTCAAGGTACCTTCTGGTCAGGGGAAGTTTCAGGAAAATAACTTCTTCCATGAACCAGAAACTTTTTCCTTTTTTTTTTTTTTTTTCCCCAGCCAGCTCTAGTGGGAAAGTGCTTTCTGCAGCTGCAGTGCTGGGAAAGGCTCTGCCCTCTCCTGACTCCAGTGCTGTGCATCCTCAAGGATGTGGCCTTTGGAATCGAAATGGGTGACAGCGCCTTATTCATAACCCCTTCCCCGCCTCTCTGGGACCTGTGTTTCGCATAATATAGTGAAAACAACTCAGATGCTGCACAAGGGGTTAAAAAAACAACCAAAAAACCAGGATAGGAGCTCTTGGACCAGCTGCATTCAACGTGGTTATCGCACAGTAACAACACGGCTGTGTTACGGTGCAAGTATCCGACTGACAGGGGAGGAGGGCAGTGGTGTTCCCCCCTGGAATTACAGACCAATTGCCCCAGTGAGTGCTTTAAGCGGCCAAGGAGTGTGTGTGTAGAGGGATGGGGGGTCGCTGCTGGGTGCAGGGAGGTGACAGGAAGCTGGGTCAGGGGGGACATGGGAGGACAGAGCAGGGGGCTGGGATGTGGAAGATGGGGAGGTGGGCAATGGAGACATTCTGCCACGGGGACATGGGAACATGTCCCAAACATTTATTGGGCCCAAACATCAGCACAAGGCTCAGGAGCCCCTCAAAGGTGAGGATGGGAGGTGATTTGGGTGCTGGACACCAGCCATCCCACCCTGGCCTCACCGTGCCACCACAGGCTCCCACCATCCCCACGCCTCATCCCACGCCGGCCTGCAGACTTTTGGGCTCAAGGTCGGCCAAATGACGAGGGATTAGGAAAGCAGAGGGGGCTGTGATCATAGCAGGGGGGATTCTGAGGCACCGGTTCCCACTGCAATAGGAATAAAGGGACACTCACATTCAACCTTTTTCTCCAGCATTGCCAAGTGATTAGCTACTTCCGTTTTCAGCTCATTGATTTTAAAAACCCTGAAAAGAAAACCCTCATGTATTAATGTTATACATTTAGTGCTGCACCTACCCTAGGTACTAAAGGACTTTTGCCAGAAATGCCTGTATTCTTCTAGAGGATGGATCTGCCCAACTGTGACCGCCACAAGGAAAGGCAAATTTTCCACGGAAATGCTAACATTTGGGCAGAAAGTACACCCGGGTTTAATTTGTGGAAAAATTAACAGCAAATGATCTTTTTATGGCCCTGGGAATGCACTGTGGCTCTGCAACACTTCATCACCCCCTCTCTCAGCAGTGACTTGCCACTGTACCCCCCCAGGGAAGCAAAGTTAAATTGATAATGCTTGGTCTAACAGCAGCGTCTTGGTGTCTGCACACTCTGAATCCCTCCTCCTCTCCTCCTTTCGAGTTACACTGGTGATTTGCTGAGCTGTGGTGGGATTGATCTGCCTTATTGAAACCAGCTGGAATAAAATAAGCAGCTGTACAGACGTTGAGAAATCCTCTTGGAGGAGAGACGTTTTTGGGTGATAAAGGGGGAAATGAAACAAATCAGATGATTTGACTGTTCAGTGAAGAAGCATTTCTTTTGCTTCCTAAGAGAGAAGGAGCACAAGAAGAACATTTATATTTCCTACTTCATCTCCTTTTTAGATCAAAGATAATCACCAAAATCGCTTTTGGTTTAAGCTACTGTATTGCTGTCAGCAGGAAATAACATGTGTCCCAGACCTAAATTTGGCAGGCAGAGTGGGATTTGAAAGAGGTCTTAAATGCCCCTCTGCCTCCTGTGAAAATTTCACTTCAGGCTGATAAAGAAATAGCATTTTAAATTAATAATGATGTTCAACTTCTTACCTCGAGAACTGCTCTGCAATCTGTCCCAATAAATTCTGGAACAATTCTTCTTTCTCTGAAAAAAAAAAAAAGAAAAAACAGAGGGAGACATAAGAGAAAAACAGAGGAGAAAAGATGCCCTCAGCTCCCCTGCAATGTGATGTCCCCAGACCTCCAGCTCTGATGGTGATGCATTTAGCCAAAAAATGGCTCTGGTCCTTTGAACAGTGACAGGGTTTGGGAATGACTCCTTGTCTCACCTGCCTTCCTCTGCCTGCAGACTACAGTCAAGGTTTCTCTTTTTTGGGTCCCTGAGAGCTGGTTTTCTTTGAGGCAGCACTCTTTGGATGGGAGACACCATTCACGTTTCCTGGGTGGGACACCTGGAATCGCCATCGGTGTTTGAAAGGTCTGGCTCACAATTACTGCCCCTGCACCACCAGCACACTGTGACAGAGCGCCCATTAACAGGGCTACAGCTCATGAACACACACACACACACAAAATATCCAGATTGCCTTCTAGTTTTACAATGGGACGTTATTTTGGCGCAGATTCACAAGGATGATGCTTCTGTGCATAAACTTCAGGCAAGTGTGAGATGACAAAGCGACTGCCCTTTAAGAGGGAGGTCCACCCTTCCTGGTTTGTGGGATGGACGCAGCAGGGTAGAAGCTTCCCAGCGCCTTTCCCTTGAGAAGGTAACTGGGACAGAGCTGCCACAGGGATCCTGTCAGGATCTCACTGCTTCCTGAGCTACTGCAGCAGTGGCCACACTGGCAATGCTTGTGCCGGCAGATCCCCACCTCCCACTCCCAAATCCAGCTCTCAGGCTCTTCAGCCGGCTCAGGGGAAGCCCCAGCCTCTTTCCTAGACAATCACAGCACTGCAGTCACTCACACAGGGAAAAGCAAGCGAGCCCTTAAAACAGGACCCCAGATTTCGAGGGACAGTACACTTTAGGAAGGAAGACGTAAGATAGCGATGTTTTCCTGTCTTTCAGTGTGTCCACAACGTGTTCACACGGACAGGGGGAAGCATAAATCATAAAGCACCTTTGCTGGACTGTGAGCGGCTGTTTTGAGACTGCTCCCTCCTTCCCCCACCAGCTAAGGCAAACTGCACTGTCCTGCAGTCGTTCCTGTTCCTGTACTGGGGCTGTACTCTTAGTTTCTCGTGCCCAAGGAGAGGAAACGCTGAATGCACTCACATACAGCTCACAGATCACAGAACACCCATTTATACCCCACGTAGAATTACCCTGATGGCATTTCTGCAGCTACTTCATGCCCTTCCCTGAGGGAACACGATGCCTCGCGAGTGCAATCACCCAGGCAAAACACATCGGACAGAAATACAGCCCAGCATTTACAATGTATTTCTAAATAATAGCTCTTGTACCTGTTGAAAGGATTTGCAATTCCTCAGGTATTAGAGATGTCAGAAACACTTGTCAAGAGCATTCATACTGCTGGTCAAAACAATTTGGCTGTTACCCCTGTGTCTCTAAACTGGAGCAAGCAATCTGTGCTCTGCAAGTCTCAGATCTAATTCCTCCTTTTTTCTTTCTTTTTTTTTTTTTTTCCCCTCCCAGTGGAGTGGCTAGCAGAGCAAAGGAAGAGATTAGTTCTCTTCACAGAGACCCATTTTTCAGTTTTCCCACAAAACCCGAAAGCGCTAAAACAAAGCAAATGCCATGTCCTATTTAAGGCAGGAGAAAAACTTACCGAGTGCTGCACCTGGGATGGCACCCGAGTCAGACAGTGAAAATAAGCAGAGAAACCCGTGTCCTCTCACTCCGATGCTGCTCAGCCCTCTGACACTGGCTGTAGCGTGCCAGAGACTGACAAGTTCCTTACGAGCACAGTTCCAGTAAAAAAAACCCCAACAATCTTACTTTCACTCCCTCCCCCTGTCAAAACTCACTTGGAGTATTAGGAAATTCTCATCCAGGGAACAGTCAGCTGCAATCTGATGTTTATGGTTGTAATAAAAGACTTTCAAAACGAAGATGTATGTTTTTATAACCCTAGGGTGCAGTAAAGATATATGACTAAGAGTGGCAGTTCGTCTCATCTTAAAGAGACAAAGATCCATTTCTCTGCCCTGTTCCTTTCTGAGGGGAAGACCTCTGGTAACCCCTGTTTCTGAAGGAAATGAGACATTGTTCCAAGATCATGTAGTCTCGCTTGTCCCCTCCTTTGTAGAACAGGAGGGTTAGGTGTGTTTTTACTCCCTTTATTACTCTCTGTCTTCTTTTTTTTTTTTTTTTTATATATATATCTCTGGGCAGGGCTGATACCCCAGGTGCACACAGGTACCTTTTCCCCCAGCTTCTCCGCTTCTTTTGCTGTGATTCCCTCTGTGAAAGGGAAACCTTATTGCATGCAGCTTGGGCGCCTTGCTCAGGGTTTCCTGCTGCAGCACCCCAAAACCTTCAAGAGCAACTCTCTTCTCGCCTCACCACCCCCCCCCAACAAAAGCATTGCCGTGAACGCACAGCGTTTGCAAACGCAGGTGCTCATCAAGCCAGATTTCTGCAAGACGCACGGGATCGTCTTACAGCCGAGAAAAGAAAATCAGAAAGCCCCCCTCCAGAAGATGCTGCAATGGTGTAATTCTGGGCAGGGGATGGCCAGTTCAGGCTTCCCCAGGGCTTCCCGCGGCTCATTCCCGTGCTCGCTTTGGGGCACAGGGACTTGGGCTCCTTGCCCGTTGGCCTCTGCCAAGCTCAGCAGGGAGCTTGGCTGGGACATCACGGAGGAATGAGCCATTTTGCCTTGTCTCCAGCAGGTCTGGGAAGAAAGCAGGTGCGGGGGAATATGGCAGGAGCATTTTTTCCCGTGACTCCTGCTGTGGCTGGATCGCAGGGCTGGCAGAGAGCACACACCTTCCCTGCCGGGGCGGGGACCAGGGACACGCTGAGGCAGCTCAGGTTACCCTGCACTGACACAGATGGTTTATTACCCGCTGCCAAGTGCCCTCTGCTTTGCACCGCCCTGCTCAGCAGTGGCTCTTCCTCTGCCCTCTTACCAGCTGGGATCAAGGCCAGGGAGCCACCTCCGTCCTCCCACTCTCCCCATCTCCCCTTGCCATCCAGGCTGCCAGCAGGGATTCCATGGGGTTGTGGGGTTGGCCTGGTTTCCCTCCATCTTTTCTGCTGTGGCCAGGCAAGGCTGGGAGGACATGGGCATCTCCCTTTCCCTGCCAGTACCAGGCTGGTGAATGCCTGACACATTTCTCAGAAACGATTCTGCCTCTGGCTCGGGCTTCTGTCTGAATTTCGCTTTCTGTGGTTTGTTTGGATCAAGGCAGTCAGGGCAATTAAAAAAAACCCCTCAGGTGGACAAAAGCCCCAGGAAGGGGTGTGGGCTTCAAGCCCACGTCTGTGAATCACATGGAGCACCGAATTCTCTTGGCAGCCCGGGTTAAGTTGGGTTGCTGCACCCAAGTTCCCAATCAGGTGAGTAATCCTGAAGCAGCTGGCCCGGTCCCAATGCACGCATCCATGAGGGGGATGCATGCAAGGAGCAGCAGACAGGAGGAGGATTTTGCTCTCACAGTCTCTCTTTAGTCTTGCCTGAGCTGCAGGCGTGAATAAACGTCCAAAAGGAGAACAGAGATGTTCCAGAATAAGAAGATTTAGACACAGTGACAAGCTTCTGTCTCTTCATCAGCAGCGATCTGCACAAGATCTTGCGTATTTAATCATTCAGGGGGGAAAAGCAGTCCCTGCAGATCCCTGGTGCAGTCACTGGTGGGCTCAGTGGGGTGGGCAAGGCAGGGTTAACAACAGTTCAGACATGGGCCCTCTAGCAGGCAGCTACACACGTCTGGGTTGTGCTGCTTCTCCCACTGCAAGCCAATATTCCTGGGGAGAGACCCTCTGTGCAGGTCCTAGAGAGCATGCAAGCTGAAAAGGCAAATAACTGAGCAGTAAGTGAAGTGGGAGGTGAAGGCTCTGCCTACGGCCTCAGCCTGGCGAAGTGGCTCTGGGATCCTGTCACTGGGCTGCTGAGCACAGAGGGACAGCGGGGGAGCTCTCCCCACGTGCTGGCCTCCACCCCAGTCAGGCACTGCTCTCTTGGGTTTGCTCACCCATTTCCCCAGAGATGAGGAGATACTTGTGTGGAAGGATCCACCAGAACGAGCTGGAGACAGAGGTGCTGAGAGAACTTGGGACAGCTCAGCACATCTTGCGCTCTTTCAGGTCACATCCCTGGTGAGGTCTTTAATGACTTGGTCAGCCACCCGAGTGCTTTGCTGCCCACACTTTGGAGCAGCAGGAAAGTCCCTGTGCAGGTTTTCCTGCCCATTTAGGACTGCAGTGGATCGGACTCACTTGATCTGCCACAATAGCTCCTTTCTCTGCGCTATCAGAACACGACAGACTCCAATTTTATCTCTCAAGAGCGTGCTGCTAGTAGGATTTGTTCATTTAATTGCCATCTCCGTCAGTACTGCAGAGTGCCTGAACCCTGCTAATTAGAGTGACAACACAGCCATTTGGTTGTGAGTTTTGAGCCAGTTCCACCACGAGGACACAGACCAGAGCCCTTCTGCCGTCAGGAGGGAGAGGATGCCAGCTCAACGGGCTTGGGAGTTTTAACACCCCAGAGAGAAGGAAGGGTTTGGCACCGGGGGTGTGATGCTCTGCTTGGACGAGCCATGTGCCTTCTGGTCCAGGGCCACAGGAGGAGGGACAACACGTGATGCAACAGTCCCACAGGCTCAGAGCAGCTCAGCCTTTGCCTTTGCCTCGCAGACAGCTGACCCCTGATGCAGCAATTGCTGCTGCATCCAACCCTCACTGGAATCATAATTTTCTTGTTTCCAACCGTCTCCCATGACTGTGGCCAGGAAATGAAGAATGGTTTCTTAGCAGGACTCCAGTGGATATCTCCTCTGCTGGATGAAAGCCACTGCTTATATTTTCCTCCCAAAGGATCATATTTTCCAGTCCCACCTTTTACAGTCTTTGTTCTGCTGAAGTGTGTGTCGTTCTTCTCCAGCTGCCTGGGAGACTGATGAAAAGAGGTGCATTGCCTCCCACCGCCGTGAAAATTGGGGTGACCCCCTTTTTGGCATGTATTTGGATGAGCTGCTTTGGGAAGCAGAATCACACAGGCAGAGCTGTTTAAGAAGTGAAGACTAGAACAGAGCTGGGTTTTTTTTTCTTTTAATGAAGAGGAACGATTTCCCACTCTGTTTATTCTTCCTACTCTCAGCAAAATGTCAGGAATGCTTAAGATTAATGACAACCCATGTGAAAGAGAAACAGATACCAAGGAACATTAGTTCCATCACACTCAGTTCAACTTTCATCCCCTTTCCACAGCAGATTCTGTCTTATGCTTTGGCAACCTGTGTCCAGAATTTTTCTTGCCCTTTTCAGCTTAGATCTTTGGAAATCCCTGTTTTATAAAATGCAGAGAGGGAAGACAGATCCCTCTGACACAGTGAGCTATGTTCTGCACAAAGCAGAGCCATGTGCTGTCAGCTGGGGATGAAGAATGAGGGCCTTGGGAGAGTGAGAAAAGTTACATGCGGTCTTATAAAAATATAGGGTTAGCTTCGTGTTTGGGGAATAAAGAAAAAAAAAAAAGAAGATTTTCAAGAAATCCCTTCAATCAGCTTCCCAGCAGGTATAACACAGTAGCATTCCCTGGTAGAGCCATGCTGGCCCTATTTGCTGGTCTTTGTCTTGGGGCAAATGGCTACTGGTTACCCACACCAGCTGGCACACAGGGAACACGTGGCCCACCCCACCTTTTCTGATCTGATAATGCAAACAACTGCACTCCTGGACCAGAAGAGTGATGCTGTTCCAGCAGAGTTTGTCACAACAAGGAAACAGTTGAGGAGACAGCTTCTTTTCCCTTGGCAGCCATGTGTGTCCCTTGGCTTTGACTACCTCCTTCTGGCAAGGGCGGCAATCACTGACATGGGACCTGCACGTGGCTTGTCACAAATCTCACTGTGGCTCTTTCACAGCCTCTTTGTTCTTCTTGCTCTCCATCTGCCTTTGTTCTCTGCATGCACAGGCTCCCCGCTGTTGCCTCCCTGTCTCCCCCAAATCCTCCTACACTGCCTTGCTGTGCCCATTTCCCTACAGATGTTTCTGCCACCGTGGATGTCCCATGGAGTGGCTTTGGTTCCCTGTGCCTCCCCATCTAAAAGAAGGCAGCGCTGTGAGACATTTCCTTACATAATCCAGGAGCCTAAGCAAGAAGAAGAGGTGGGACTTGCAATTAGCGTAAGGGGGATGATGAGGTGGGACCAACAGAACTGCATCACCCCTGTCCCAGCAGACTCACCCGTTCCTGCAAACTACTTTTTCCAGCCCCAGGCTTTCTGTCTCACTCTTGTTCTTTCTGTGCACGCTGTGTTTCCAAGATAATCTTAACCTCTTGCCCTCTGCCTCTCCTATCTTCCCATTTTACTGCTCCAAACAGTGTCCTCAGCTGACATCTCTTACTCTCCTGCAGTCCCTGCCTCAGCAGCTATTCCCTGTCCCTCCACAGTGCACAGGCTCAGGCTCCTGCCCAGGCTGCACTGATGTGAGTGGCAGAAGATGCTGCAGCTGCACGGAGGAGCAAAACCACAAGCCAGATGCTTGATAAGAATTGCCCCAACCAAATGTCCTGCTGCAGTGTCTGAGAGCTACAGGCCTGAGCATGACACTGGCAGGCAAGGAGGAATGGCAAAAGCACCATTTCAGTCCTGCCTGTGGAGTACAACAGTGCTGTGGCTGAAGAATGTGTTCCAGATGTGTTCTTTCACCCAGGCGTTCTTTAATCTTGTCAGGTGTATTTAAATATTTATCACACTTAGAGCTACTGTGCCCACCGCAGAAATTATGTTCTCTCCTCACCCATTTGGAAATAACACGGGGTTCAAAGGTTGTGCTCAGCTTTCCAGCAGAGCTTTGATGAGAGATGAACAAGTTTCACAAAACACTGCAGGACAGGCTTTCACATATTGTCTGTGTTGCCTAAAAAAAAAACCCCACTGCTCCATGCAAGACTTTTCCAAGGGCATCAGGAGTGATGAGTCAGACCAGGGCCAGGCATGGGGAAAGTCCCCCGGACCTCAGCCATTCACCTCATCCTCAAATTCCTTGAAATCTAGGGGCATTTTTTAAGCTTCCCTCCAAAACACTGTGATCAAATGACCTTTATTCTG